AAGATTTTCTGATTTTTCTTTTAATTCCAATAATTCTATATAAACTTGACTTTCAAAGAAACCATGAACAAATTGAGAATAAACCATGTTATGATGCAATACAAAAATGTGTGTTTTAATTTTCAAAATTAAAACTCTTTACTATTCTAATTAATATGGCCCTGGATCATGTCTCATATCTACTTTACCAGCTGTAACATATTTAGATAACTAGGTCAGAGCTCCTTTCATTTCTCTTGTGAATGAAAAATATTGCCAGCCATATCAGCAAAGGAGGCTGTGGCCATTAAGTCATCAGCCACAACCGCCACCCTTGACAGCGAGCAGAGGGAACGCAGGGTGGAGACAAGCGGGCAGCCCGGGATCTGCTGCCACCCCCAATGGTGAACCCTGAGGGGACTCAGGATGTTGGTCCTAGATAGCTAGGTACTTATCAAAGGAATGAGTTCAATGAGCCCAAACCTTTGCATATACTGAGATATCTGGTTTTCTTTAATTAACAGTAATATTTTGATGTTCCAACTACCTAGTCTTTGTTGCCAAAACTCCTATATATCCTGGCTTCTCCCTTGCCTGGGCAAAACAGTCTCTTAGAGCAATCTGAGAGGCTGCCTCTTGGGCTCGAGCCGTCAGAATGTCCGCCAAATAAAACATAACTCTCAACTTTTAGGTTGTGGATTTTATTTCAGTTGACACACTCTTCTAAATATCTCTGCCTAGTTAACTTATCTCAAAGAATGGAATCCTAGATTTTGTGGGAACTGTGATCAAATCCAAGACAGGGATATTAATGTGTATTTCTGATTAAATAGTAATTAATGCAGTGGTTGTCACTGTTTCTAGGCGTTTTCAATATAAAAAGGTATGTAATAAGGTGTTATACTTTGTTATTTTTAGCAAGAGAAAAAAAATAAGCTGAACTGATATTTCAGTAAAAATATTACATGACTTTTACTTAATATTTTGAATTTGTATTTTTTATTTTACAAATCTTGGTTCCTAAAGATATTATCATAATTGTTCATTTCTTCTATTCTCCACTGGGTAATTAGAAATTTAAAATATTACGTAATGATACTCAATTTTTTATGACTTTGTTTTTAGAATAAATTCTGCTAGGAATGTACAGTCAAATTACTATGTTTTAAAGTCACTTGAATTAATTCTTCTCAATATTCATTCATCTCACAATGAATCACCAATTTTTGATCACCAATATTGCAAATGCCTAATTTGTAAGGTGGAAATGTGAGTGTCTCTAGCTTTTCTTTCATCTCTTCAAATCTTTATCTTAGCCTAACTTCTAACACTTACACTTTTCACTTTTATACAGTCAAGGTTATTAGCATATATAATTGTCTCTACAGTCAGTTATCGGAATTTGCTGTTTGATTTGGTTTGGGTTTCTGGAATTTCTAATTGCCTTTCTTTTATTTCTTGAACAATTTGATTTTATCGTGTCTTAAACAGATAACTTTTTATGAACATCTTTCAGAGAAAGGCCTCCATTTTTCTGCTCTAATATGCATTTTTTGCTCTCCAGCAAGGCAGCCTTGCTTCCTAGCTGTCATTCTTCCTTTCATTGACCCTCAGTTTTGTTTCTCCATTTCCTGCCTCTCACATTTATTCCCTTGTTTTGCTAGGCTAAAGTAAACTCCTGAAAAAGGTGTTTGGAAGGTGCACTGGGCTTAGTGTAAGTACTCCTGCAGATCCATGCAGCCACTCTGCTCTCCCTGTGTGCCTCAGTCATCCCTTTGGCCTCTTGCCCAGAGCACATCCACAATGGCTCAATCCATCCCCGCAGTCGCAGAGCCAGGCCTCTGCTGCAGTCGCTGCTACAACTACAGTATGAAGAGGCCCAACCACGGTGCAGTGTTGGCAAGAAGACCCGGACCAAGTAGCTTTACTGGGCCTGTAGGGGTTCCAAAACTGGCCCAGAGAGGTAGGTAACACAATCTTGACATGGTGCTGTGACATGGCGTGGCCTTGAACAATGGGAGACCTAAAAAGAAGCTAACAGAACACTTCTCTCCTC